TCGATCAAGGGGCTCGACGGGTGCACGCGATTGTCCGTGACCCCACCCCCTGGGTCCCTACCACGACCCTCGCCAGAGATGGTTCTGTTGTTGCCGACCCCCTTTCTCTGTTGTCCCACGAAGGCACCAAGTTTGCCAAGTTTTGGGATGTCGGAGCTGGCAATCCTGTGGGTTGCACGTTGGTGGAAGCTCTCCCCAGGGCCGATCCCGTTCAGTTGCGGGCTGTCAGCAAGAAATATAAGAGAACCTCGGCTGTCACTTATGACGGGTTCGATTGCCGTCACTTTCACCTTCTGTGTGACGACGGACTGGTTGCGCTTGGCATGCTCTTTCAGCTGATGGAGTCGGTTGGCCAACTCCCGCGCCAAATTTCTGCGGTGTTGCTTGCCCTGCTCTCGAAACCCAGCGGTGGCTACAGACCGATAGGGGTGTTCTGCTCCTGGTATAGGGTCTGGGGACGCCTCAGGCGTCCCTTTGCCTTACACTGGGAGCAGCAACACCCCCGTCGGTACTGGGCTGCGGGGGCGTTTCGTGGAGCTGCGGATGTTGTCTGGCGTCAATCGTTTCGTGCTGAGACGGGGACCTCTAGAAAGGAAGAGAGTGCCAGCGTCTTCTATGATATGCTCAAGTATTATGAGACGATTGACTTAGACGTTTTAGAGCAGCGATGTCACCAACACAATTTCCCGTCTGTGCTGACCAGGCTTACCCTTTATGCGTATAGGTGTGGCCGCTTTGTCTCCATCGCTGGCATCCTGGATGGGCCGCACTTTGTTAGGAAAGGAGTCATTGCGGGCTGCAGCATGGCCACTACTCATATACGCATTTATGGTTTGTCTTCGTTCGATAAGCTCCCCTCTGTCCCCTCCGTTGATTTTGACATTTATATTGACGATACGGGAGTGTCTTGCACGGGGTCCAGAGAACATGTTGTTTCGTCTATTGTTTCCGTCTCTCTCGCTCTTCATCATGCTATTACTGATGAGAAGGAGATGAACTGTCAGCTTGCTCTCGACAAGATTTGTACCGTTGCGTCCTCCAAAGGCCTGGCCACCGCGCTGGCTGCGGCCTTGGGACAGTTTGGAGGCAAGTTCACTGCCTCGACTGTGAACCTCGGAGTCGACTACAGTGCTGGCACCTCGGTCAGGGCCTCAGGGCGGAGCTCGAAGCTCAAGAGCCGTGTGGCGCTGCTCTGCAGGAAAGCCCGTCGTCTCAAGCGGCAGGCAGGTTACCTTGGTCGCAAAGCCCTCAGAATTTTCGCTGCGGGCCCCCTCCCTGGAGGGGCCTATGGGGCGGACATCCTGGGGGTGAGCGACCAGGTCCTCCTAACCATGAGGCGGCAGGCTTTCAAGACTGTGAGGCCGTTCGCCAAAAGCAGGTCTCTCACGGCGGTCAGCCTGCTGTCGGAGGACCCGTGCTGGCGAGCTGCTTCGGCTCCCATCCTCCGTTGGAGCAAAGAGGTCTGGCTGGCCCAAACTCGCGAGTTCCCCTGGTCCATTCCTCATAGGGAGCTCCGAGACGGCTTCAGGAGTGTGTTTGCGCTGCCTAGGGTCACTTGGCCTACTGTTAAGGGCCCCGTGTCTGCCCTTCGCCTTACCCTCCTTCGCCTCGGTTGGACCATGGTTGACTATGCCACTATCTTGGACGACCGAGGTTATCGTTTGCAGCTCGGCCTGATTCCCCCCAAGCTGTTGGAAACTATGTGCAAAGAGGCCTACATGCGTGGGCTCGAGCGTGATCTTGGGGGAAAATGGGGGCTGGATTGCAGGGCGTGTCTGGATATTCCAAGAGCTGCTTGTGTCAGTAAGAAATTCTCCCCCGCGCAGAGGGGCTGGATTCGGGCTTGCTCTTGTGATGCCATTTGGTCTGCGGACAAGGCCTTGGCATGCGGGTATCAGGTTGATCCGCTTTGTCCTCTTTGCTCTGCTTCGCCCGACTCAGTGTTTCACAGGCTTTGGCAGTGCACGGCGACGGAAGTCCTAGAGTCGCGGACTCAGCTGGTCCCGGCCTCAGTTGTGCAAGATGCCATCGCCGTGTGGACAGCTCAGGCGGAACCCGACCCTCATGTGCGAGCTCTTTATACCAGAGGAGCTTTCGCTCATCCCGCTGACGTGTTGCCGCGTCCTGTTGAGGAGGGAACGAATGCCCTTCAGTTCGTTTGGCATTGTGTCGAGCTCCCTAGCCCTGAAGGTCCCAGGGTCCCAGTGAACGGGGAGATGTGGGGGCACGTTTTTATAGATGGGTCCTGTCAGCGCCACCCGATCAAGGAATTGTCTAGAGCTGCCTATGCGATTACTATGCGTGCTGATGATGGCACGTGCCTTAGAGAGGCGAGAGGCCCTGTCTGGGCTCACCTTCCTCAGACGCCTCAGGCGGCTGAATTTGCAGCCAGGTGTGTAGCCGCACAGTTCTTGGTGTTGCCGACCACTATTTACTCGGACTGTGCGAACGTTGTGTCTCACAGCACTTTGCCCTTGCCCGAGAGGTACTCGGGCAAGAGGTCTTATTCAGGAATGATCATGTGTGCCAACAACTTCGAGGGCCGTTTTTTGGAAGGAATTGTTAAGGTCAAAGCTCATTTAGATGTGCACCAGGAGGGCATCTCCGAGAGAGAACGTTTCCTCAGGCGTGGAAACGCTGATGCGGATGTGGGGGCGAAACATGCCCTTCAGCTTCACCCATCCGACCCGACCGAACTTGCCAATGTGGACAAGCTTGTGGAAGCGGCCAGGGGTTATTGCATCCTTGCTGCTAACTTGCTTCCTCTTTGGCCTAAGCTCTCTCTCGACGTTCCCTACCTCCCTCCTCCTCCTGCTGAGCATTTAAGCTCCCGCAGTAAGGTTGGCCATCGTTGGGAAGTCTGGGCTGACGTCTGGAGGTGTGCGGTGTGCCTCCGCGGGAACAGGGGCTCGTCTCGGCCCCCCCCTGGAAGGTGCCCCCAGGATTCCAAGCTGCATGCGGCTAGGCAAGATGCCCTTGGGCATAGGACTGTTGCATTCGACTGTTCTGACAAGACAGTGCTTTTCATATGCCTTAAGTGTAAATGCCACTCCACTGGTGGCAGGATTAGAGGCCTAGGAGAAGTTTGCAAGAAGCCCACCCGTGCGGGCCGCCAAGGTTGGGCCGCATTGTGCAAGGGTATTCACCCGCAGTACTCCAAGTCCAGCAAAGGTGTCACAGTTGACGACACCTCGCTCGTTCGTTGCTTCAACTCGTTTTTGGTTTCGAATCCTCAATTTTCGGAGGTAGATGTTTCTAGCCCTGTGCCCGCTGGCGCGTCTGGCAATGCGGCCAGCGCTGAAGGGCAAGAGCGTCCCAGCTTCACAGTTCCAGCTATTGCAGCCTCTGCCTGCGCTCATGCCAGCAGCGATGCGCCCAGCTCTTCCTTGAGTGATGTGGTCGCCTCGGCCTCAGCCACCAGGGAGTGCTTGGATCGCATTGCTGCGTCTCTCCGCTGCGAAGCGGAAGATTTGGGAACGGGTGGGACTGTGGAGGTGGGGTCGGGAGATTCGGATTGAATTTCAGTGTTCTCGCCTGCCTTTCTCTTTTGGCGGGTTTGAACCTTTTGTCGTGCGTAGGCCTTCGGAGCCACTCCTTCTTTGAGTTTCTGTTCTCAATCTTATCCTCGGCCGTGCTTTGCTTCCTGGGCTTTCAGGCTGTTGTGGCATAGGTTGCTTCCCGCGACCTAAGCGGCGACCGCCTGTCCGCTTAGGACGCTCTCCGCGTTGCCGATTTTTCCAGCTGAGGGTCAGCTGGTGCCTGTCCTCGCCTGTCCGTCGCCTCTGTGACAGGCTTGGTTCTTGTTTGGCGAATTTATTCGGGCGGGGGGCGCGGTGCGAGTGGGGACTGCCCGGCGTTGCGCCGTTAGTGACCCTCGCACCGTTGCTCCCCTGCCCCGCGCAATTTTTTCCAGCTGAGGGTCAGCTGGTGCCTGTCCTCGCCTGTCTTTCGCCTCCCGCGACAGGCTTGGCTCTGTTTGGCGAGTTTATTTCTTTTTGTGCACTGTCTCTGGCATGTCTGCCAGACAGTGGGAGCCCGAGCCGAGGGTCGATCCGTGCGGGGAGGGGGCCATAGTGGGCGCTCCGAAAGGAACTCGCGAAGCCCCCTCCCCAAAGCGGCTCTCGCCGAGGCGAGGTCTTTCAGTGCTGGCAGGTCCCGCCCTGCCAGTTGTCTGCACTATGCGGTGGGTCCGTGGAGATCAAAAAAAAAGGACAGTGGGTCAGAACCATACGTGTTTTGCATTGGTTCCCGGTGAGTCTTTAAGTCCGGGGGGGAAGTTGGGGATAGCCTATTTGCTGTCTTTAAGAAAAGGTGAATAAATGTTGTGTAACCCATGTCTATGGGGATCAGCCTATGCGGCGGCGACGGGGCGGCGACGGGGCTGCGACTCGGACAACATAGCCGCCAGAGCGGCAGAACGGGCGGCGACGAGGCGGCGACGGGGCGGCGACGGCGACAACATAGCCGGCAGAGCCGCAGGCAGGCCCAGTTTTTCAGAGCAGAAGGGAACAAACCCTCCGTGCAAGCACTGTTTGAGGAACAAGTCGTACCAACAGGATGCAAACGCAAGCGGAGGGAGGCGTGCCAATCTCAGGGCGTTTTCGGGGGAGAGAGGAGGGTAGTAGTTATTTATATTCCGTAGTGAGCCACTGTCGAGGAGGAGGAGGAGGTGGAGGAGGAGGAGGAGGAAGAGGAGGAGGAGGAGGAGGAGGAGGAGGAGGGGGAATAGGAGGAAGAGGAGGAGGAGGAGGAGGAGGAGGAGGAGGAGGAGGAGGAGGAGGAGGAGGAGGTGGAGGAGGAGGAGGAGGAAGAGGACGAAAATCGGATTCACCAACAGCGGTGTTGCTGTTGACCTTCCCGTCCCAAGTCCGCTCTTCATTGGCCGCACTCAGTTTCGCTGTGGCAGGCGCCCCTTTGACAGACAAGCGCGTCATGGGCTGGATGAGGAGGAGGAGGAGGGGGAGGGGGAAGGCGCAGAGCCCGCATCCCTAAATTCTGAGGCTGGCCGGCCTCTGGAGTCGAGCTCTGGTGTCAAGAGGCACACGATGGTGCAGGGCTTTCTCTGCGTCCTGTGCACCCTCGTCGGGGCGTTCTACCCGACGCTGCTCGACATGTCGAAGACTTCGACGGAGCAGAAGGTGGCCTTCGGGCCGGGCTCTGACGGCCTACGGACGCAAGAGTGGCGGACGTACCCCTTCAGCCCAGTGTCTGTGGTTCTCGTCAACCAGGCTCTGCAGGTCTCAATAGCGACGTGCTTCGTGGCCAAGAAGAACGGCCTCGCGTCCTTATGGAAAGATTCTGGGATCGCGCTCAAGATGTTTCCGCTGGGCGCCATCTATGCCATTGGCGAGATCCTGACGCTTCGGTCCGTGCAAAAGGGCTCTGGCCCTGTCTACGTCATCATCGCCAACATGAAGCTGGTGGTCGCGGCGTTTATGTCGCGGATGTTTTTCGGGCGCGCCCGCGCGATGCCGCTCGCGCATTGGCTGGAGTTGGTGCTGATCAGCCTGGCAGCCGCGGGTTACACTCTGGCCGAGGCTGGTTCGCTTGGCAACCAGTGGCAGTGGGAAGGCGCGTGGATGGCGTTGCTGAAGAGCTCCCTCGTGGCGTTCAGCAGCGTCTTCTGCGAGCACATCTACAAGAGCAACGCTTTCCACGTGGTGCTGACCCTGCAGGCTTTCTGGGGCCTGGTCGTCGTCGTGCTGTTAATCGCGCTGTCCTTCGTCGGCCTGGGCCCGAGCTTCATCGCGTCGGAGCTGCGCGACGACCTCGGCGGCGCGTCCTTGTTCGCGGGCGGCCCAGCGCATGCGCTGTGCTCGTCGGACGAGCACGCGGCGTGCGTTCGCAGCCTCGCCCGCACCTCCGCGGCGCTGTCCGGCGAGGCGGTGTGCCGGTGCATCAGCCGGCGCGGCTGGGATCCGTCCACGCTGCTGGCCATCTTCGCCGACCTCACGAACGCCGTCTCCTCGGCGCTGGTGTTCAAGAGGCTCAGCGCCGTGGCCAAGTACGTCTGCAGGGCCACCTCGGCCGTGCCGATGTACGTCTTCTACTGCCTCGCGGGGCGCTCGAGCTGGGACGTGCGGACCTTCGGCGTGGTGCTGCTCCTGTGCGGGCAGGTCAGCGTGTACACCGTGCAGCGGCACAGGGCCGACAGGAACAAGGAGGTCGCGGACGCGCACTTCGCGCAGCACTACGGCGGCACGGGCATGCCCAAGAGGGCGCCGTGAGCAGGGGCTGCCAGCGGCGCCGGCGGTCCGTGGGGGGGGGCGTCGGCCTGCGCCCGCTCGCGCGCCGGAGGCGACCCCCGCTCTCGGCAGGCACGGCGCCGGGAGCCGGGAGCAAACTAGAGTCGAGGGCGGCCAAGAGGGGGTGATGGCGGGGGGGCGGTCTCATGGCTGGGGCCATGTGTCTCCCTGGGTGGCGTGGCCCCCCTTCTTCTTCTTCTTCTTCTTCTTCTTCTTCTTCTTCTTATTGTTGTTATTGTTATTATTGTTATTATTACTATTATTATTATTATTGTTATTATTATTATTTACCTAACAGCGAAGACTGATAGGTTTCTAGTGGTCTCAAAAGAGCTCACAGATCACTCCACAGGGGGGTCCGGGCAGGTGTTGGGGAGTTGCCGGGCGGCAGGGTGCCGGGCTCGTTTTTCACCAACAGTCACACACTTCGTGCTCTTCGACTTCCCAGAACTCCATTCCCAGGCCACATTCTCAATACCCGGATGCAACAGTCACACACTTCGTGTTCTTCGAGATCCCAGAACGCCATTCCCGGGCCACATTTAGAATAACCGGATGCAACAGTCACACACTTCGTGCTCTTCGACATCCCAGAACGCCATTCCCGGGCCACATTCTGGAGGGCCGTATGCAACAGTCACACACTTCGTGCTCTTCGAGTTCCCAGAACTCCATTCCCGGGCCACATTTTGGATGCCCGGAGCCAACTGTAGGCCACTTCGTGCTCTTCGAGTTCCCAGAACTCCATTCCCGGGCCACATTTTGGATGCCCGGAGCCAACTGTAGGCCACTTCGTGCTCTTCGAGTTCCCAGAACTCCATTCCCGGGCCACATTTTGGATGCCCGGAGCCAACTGTAGGCCACTTCGTGGTCTTCGAGTTCCCAGAACTCCATTCCTGGGCATGATTTTGAATGCCCGGAGCAAACTGTAGGCCACTTCGTGTTCTTCGAGTTCCCAGAACTCCATTCCCGGGCCACATTTTGAATGCTGAGGCAGGCTGAGGCTGAGGCTGAGGCAGGCTGAGCTGAGGCAGGCTGAGGCTGAGGCTGAGGCAGACTGAGGCTGAGGCTGAAGCAGGCTGAGGCTGAGGCAGGCTGAGGCTGAGGCTGAGGCGAGGCTGAGGCAGACTGAGGCTGAGGCTGAAGCAGGCTGAGGCTGAGGCAGAGGCAGGCTGAGGCTGAGGCTGAGGCAGGCTGATGCTGAGGCAGGCTGAGGCTGAGGCTGAGGCTGATGCAGGCTGAGGCTGAGGCAGGCTGAGGCTGAGGCCGAGGCTGAAGGCAGACTGAGGCTGAGGCTGAAGCAGGCTGAGGCTGAGGCTGAGGCAGGCTGAGGCTGAGGCAGGCTGAGGCTGAGGCTGAGGCAGGCTCTGAGGCAGGCTGAGGCTATGGATGAGCTGAGAGGCATGAGGCTGAGGCTGAGGCAGGCTGAGGCTGAGGCTGAGGCTGAGGCTGAGGCAGGCTGATGCTGAGAGGCTGAGGCTGAGGCTGAGGCTGATGAGGCTGAGGGCTGAGGCTGAGGCTGAGGCTGAGGCTGATGCTGAGGCAGGCTGAGGCTGAGGCTGAGGCTGAGCAGGCTGAGGCTGAGGCAGAGGCTGAAGCAGGCTGAGGCACTGAGGCTGAGGCTGAAGCAGGCTGAGGCTGAGGCTGAGGCAGGCTGAGGCTGAGGCTGAGGCTGATGCTGAGGCAGGCTGAGGCTGAGGCTGAGGCTGATGCAGGCTGAGGCTGAGGCAGGCTGAGGCTGAGGCCGAGGCTGAAGGCAGACTGAGGCTGAGGCTGAAGCTGAGGCTGAGGCTGAGGCAGGCTGAGGCAGGCTGAGGCTGAGGCTGAGGCTGAGGCTGAGGAGGCAGGCTGAGGCTGAGGCTGAGGCTGAAGGCAGGCTCAGGCTGAGGAGGCAGGCTGAGGCCTGAGCTGCTGAGGCTGAGGCTGAGGCTGAGGCAGGCTGAGGAGGCTGAGGCTGATGCTGAGGCAGGCTGAGGCTGAGGCTCTGCAGGCTGAGGCTGAGGCAGGCTGAGGCTGAGGCCGAGGCTGAAGGCTGAGGCTGAGGCTGAGCAGGCTGAGGCTGAGGGCTGAGGCTGAGGCTGAGGCAGGCTGAGGCTGAGGCTGAGGCAGGCTGAGGCTGAGGCTGAGGCTGAGGCTGAGGCTGACTGAAGGCCACTGCGACTGTCATCGCGAATGCGACTACGACTGCGAGAACAGCAGAATTCTACAACTGGATTCTCATCTGAATCTTAAGGGGGATGCTTCCAGATATGCTCCTACACATCGCTGTTAGGTTGCTTTGCCGGGATAATTTTATTATTATTATCCTTCTCCTTATGAGTAGCATTATGCTTCTTATTTAATCGTTTCGCTCATTCCGCCGGCCCATATTGTCGCACCGTTGTGGGCTAGCCGAGTTTGGGGGCCTCTTGGGGGCCGTTTTGGGGCCTCTTGGGGCCTCTTTTGGGCCTCTTGGGCGCCTCTTGGGGAGTCTTGGGGGCCTCTTGGGGGCCTCTTGGGGCCTTTTTGGGGCCTCCTGGGCGCCTTCTGGGGCGGAGGGCTCGATTTTTCAGTTCTCGGTTCCCCTCTTGAGCCCCTCTTGGGCCCGTCTTGGGGCCTCTTGGTCCGTCTTGGGCGGCACTTGGGCCGTCTTGGGGGCCCTCCTGGGCCGTTCCGGGGCCGTCTTGGGAGCCTCGTGGGCCGTCTTGGAGCGGTCTTGGGGGCCTCTTGGGCCGTCTTGGAGCGTCCGGAAGCCGAAAAAGCCAGAACGCAAAAAACATAGAAAAACAATGAAAATCAACGATTTTGGCCTCTTGGGGCCCTCTTCGGAGGCCTCTTGGAAGGCCCTTGGGGCGTCTTGGAGGCCTCTTGGGCTGTCTTGGGGCCCTGTTGGGCGTCTTCGGGCGATCTTTGGCCGTCTCGGGGCCCTCTTGGACCGTCTTGGAGGCTTCTTGGGGACCTCTTGGCCCGTCCTGGGGCCCTGTAACAGAGCTCCGGCATCTCTGGCCCGACCTTGCCGGGACCTTGCCGGGGACTTGCCGGGACCTTGCCGGGGTACTTTTCGTCCGGGGACCCCCAGGGGCCGCCCCGCGCGCACGAACTAGAAATACTGTTAACCAGGTACCGGAGATCTTAGCACGCCCTGGCCCGTTGGGCCGGCGAATTCTGTAATCTCTTCGCTCATTCCGCCGGCCCGTAGTATGCCATCGTTTGCGGTTGGGTGATCGGGGCGTAGCTGAAACATGCAGTTGTCTTCGGCGTATCCCGTCGGGTTGGCCTCTGTAGGACCTCTGGAATGCAGGTTTGAAGCTTCAAGAAGCGTCTAGGGGGTACTTTCTTCGGAACCTCTGGGAGCCTTTGGGGGCCCTCTGGAGGCCTCTTGGAACAAGTGTTCTAGTTCCTTGGAGCGTCTTGTGGCGTCTGTGGGGCTTCTTCGAAGCTTCCTGGTGGCCTCTTCTGGGCCTTTGGTGGCCTCTTGAGGGCCTCTTGGAGGCCTTTGGCGGCGTCTTGGGTGCCTCTGGGGCCTCTTTGGGGGCTCTTGGGGAGCTCTTGGTGCGGGAGGCGGAGGTAGTTGATTGCGGCTCCTCCCTCCGAGGCCACGATCCTCGTGAGGGGTGTCGAAAAGTGGCCCTCCCCTGGAGTGCTCTGGGGGAACCTGACCGGGACCTGGCCGGGGTACTTTTCGTCCGGGGGCCCCCAGGGGCCGCTCCGCGCGCGCGAACTAGAAATATTGTTAACCAGTTGCCGGAGATCTTAGCACGCCTCTGGCCCGTTGGGCCGGCGAATTATGCTTCTTCTCTTTCTTCTTCTTCTTCTTCTTCTTCTTCTTCTTCTTCTTCTTCTTCCAATGCGTCCCCGGGTCCCGACTTGGGCCGCACACGTGCCTCGGGCCACGATTTGCGTACCCCCCTGGTGGACGCCGCCCCGCCCCCCCCCCCCCTCTTGGACGGACGCCCACGAGAGAGGACGCCCTTCCTCGGGCAGGTTTCGAGAGGATCGGCTGTCGCTGGACACTCTGTGTCGCGTTTCGCAGTGCTTCAGAGGAGGAAAACGTACCGATCGCAACGCCCTTCACCCGTCTTCGCCCGCTTCGGCTTCGGTGGGGGCGGGGGGCTCGTCGCCAATGTTGGATTCGCCTGGCAATCCCGGTCAGAGCGCGCCCCAAGGGAGGTCCAGGAGACTGGCAGTACCGGTGCCCCCTCTGGTCCCCCCAAACATCCGTAGCGCTTCCCGCACGATGCCAGACCACCCCTCCCACGAGCGCCCTGACAGCGTGGAGAGCAGCAGCGATGTCGGACCATGATTTGGGTGGCCGTAGTCTCACAGTGATGATTGCAGCCGCCCGCTAGCCCGTGCCTCACGCAGATGATTTCTGTTTGGAGGCCTCCTCCTCCTCCTCCTCCTCCTCCTCCTCCTCCTCCCCCTCCTCCTCCTCCCCCTCCTCCCCCTCCTCCTCCTCCTCCTTCTCCTCCTCCTCGTCCTCTTCCTCCTCCTCCTCCTCCTCCTCCTCCTCCTTCTGATGCTCCCGATACATATATCCTCTACATATCCTCCTCGTCGTCGTCCTCCTCCTGCGTCCGCCCTCCCTTAGCCATTTTGGCTCAAGTGCCATTGGTTCAAGTGGCCCAGGCAAGAGGGTCTGCCGTGCAGCCCATACCTTTTGATCAACGAAGCCCATGGCGCGCCTCACCCTCGCCATCACAGCGACCCTCGCCCTGTCCGCCTCCGCCGCCGTGCGCGCGAACGCGACCATAGACATCAACCAGATGGTGACGATCGACGGCACGCAGGTCTTCTCGCAGGGGTCTGGCCACGACAGCCTGAATCAGTGCGCCCAGTTCGCCAGAGCCGCGGTCAACGACCCGGCCAGGCCCAGCATCGAGGTCTGCGGCACCTCGACCAAGGTCACCGTCTTCCTGCGCAACAGGTGCAAGGGCTACCACCACTACACCGAAGAGATCGGGACCTGCAACGCCGGCGCGCCCTCCACGTCGTGCGTGACGGTCAGCCCCGCCACCGTCGGTTGGTTGCAGACGGCGCAGAGCTACATGATCACCCAGTGCTGAGCGGGCAGGCGATCACCGCCACCCTGGTCTTGCTCGCCGGCGGGGGAAAGCAGCAAGTCCTCCTCGTGCCGTCCCCGTCTCCTCCCCGGGCGGGGCCAGGACGGGGACACGTCCGCTCCACAGCGAGAACGCTCTGCGAGGGCCGTGGCGCACGGTACGTTCCCACCGGGGCCGCCGGATCTCAGAGGCCCAGAGGGCTCGCAGAGGGAGGGTTATCCCAGGGTGGGGCTGGGGAGCGGGCCCAGCTGGGTGCTCCCGCGTGGCGCGTTTCCTTCTTCCGGGGGCCGCTCGGAGCGGCTGTCCCTCCGGCCCCGCCTTTGCCCCTGCCCCACCTCTGTGCCCCCCTGGCTTGCCCTCGTGCGATGTTGTCCTCGTCCAGCCTCCGTCTCGCCTTCTTGTCCTGCTCGTCGCCCTCCCGGGCCCGCCGCCCTCATTGCCCCTGCCCTCCCTTGTCCTCTGCCCCCCCTGTCCTCCCGCATGGTGCATCATACGCGTCGTGCTGGCAGCGCTTGGCTTTTTCATCTGGTCATAGTCATATTCTCGCACAGTCGGCCCGCACAGTCAGGATGGGCACCCTTCCCAAGGGTGCCCTCGTATCCTTGCCGCCTCGGTCCATCCTGCGCCGCTTCCGCCGGCCGCGCCCCGCTCGAGAAGCCTCGAAATGGGCGCCCCAAGGCCCTTGCGTCCTTATCGTGCGTCCTCCTGGCACGGGTCGACTATGCTCACACTCGTGCGCACCCTCCTTGGCCCGCCCCGTCGTCCTCGCCTCCGTCGCGCTCCGTGTCCTCGCCCTCCCCCGGTGCCGCCCCTGGGGCCCGCTCTCGCCCGCCTCCCCCCCCAGTTGTCTCCGCCCTCCCCGTGCAGTGACCGCCGGTCGATGGACGTGCGGTCCACCCGCGTGGTACAGCCATCAGACATGTGAAGAAAACGCGTCAGCGTTCGTGGTCTCCAGATGTCGCTCAAGAGAAGCAAGAATCTGGACTGGGCCCTGGACGTTTTTCCTTGGAGTTTGGTTTCTTGGTGGCACGGTCGTAGATGTGGTCCTGGACTACGGTTTAAGAACACGCTCGGAGTGACACGCATTTTCTCAACGTAAAATGTTCTTAACTCTGAGCTGGGTCCCAATCATGGGCATCCTTGCCTCCTCGGTCCATCCTTAGCCACCTTCCTTGGCCGCGCCCCGCTCGGAAAGCTTCGAATTGGGCGTCGAAGGCCCTTGCATCCTTCTCAATCGCGCATCCTTATGATGTAGCCCGACTGTAGGCGTGTTCGGGAACCTCACGTCGTGATAGCCCGGTGGGGTCTTTAGTGCTGCCAGTGGCCCTGAGCACTCGGCTGGCAATTCAGCTCGCCCTTTTCCCTCCTCGTCGTTCCCCTCCTTTTCCACAGCTCGCGTCGGTGACCTTCTGGGGCCCTCGAGCGGCCTTCTGGGGCCCTCAACGACGACGACGACGACGACGACGACGACGACGACGACGACGACGACGACGACGGCAGATGCCTGAGCGGTGGCCGGCGCAGGGAAAGATTTATTTTCCAAGTATTGCTGGGGATCCCCATCCGTCAATAAGCCCGCGGAAAAATAGTCGTCCCATTATTGGGGGGACCAAGGACCCTTTGAGGTTCACCTGGTTGGATCGCCTTCTGTTTGAATGATGCAACAATTGATCTTTCAAGCAACCGGGCAGCCGTGTCTTTATTGAGGGTCGAGCGTTGCCGCCTTTCTGTCCCGATTTGCCCTGGGTCCGGGCCGCTCGCGTCGCTCGCGGTCCATATGGGCTCCGGCTCGGCTTGATTACGTTTCCCCGCCGGTTTCGATTCGGACCGCTCGCGTTGCCAGTTCCGCTCGGGCCGACTGCGTTCCGTGTTGGGTCGGGCCCGGGCCGCCTGCGTTCCCCGTGGGGTCCGGCTCGGAAGGCCTTCGTTCCCGCTGCGCCCACGGTTCTAGCCGCTCGCTCCCTCGCCCCTCCCTCCCTCCACTTCCTTTGTTCGGAGGCGAGCGAGGGGGGAAGTGAGAAGTGGCGGGCCTTCTCAGCAGGCTCGGAAGTCACCTGGACTTTGAGAAGTTTTCTGCGCCTTCCCGAAGACAGAAAAAACCTCTCAGAAGGCGCGAGGCTTGGCGCTGATTCAAAGGAGTGCGCTTCCAGTGCGCTTCGTCATTGCGCGTGCTGAATAGAGTTTCGAGGTTTGATTCCCCCCCCCTACCCCCCTGGGGCGGGCTTTTCCTCCCTGCCTCGTTCTCTGCTTGATTCGTTATTCTACTTCGTAGTCGTGGAGCGCTTCCTTTTTCTGCTTCGCGATCGCGGGGCGCCTCGCTGTTCTGCTTCACAGTCGTGCTGCGCCCTGTTTTCACCGCCCGCCGCCGCGCGGATGCTACCCTCAAGTTGATTGCTGGTTGCTGCTGATAGGGTGTGTCGGCCCATTCGATATCGCATGCTTCCGGGAAGCTCGCGAGAATTTCTGCCTGGCGCCCCCTTTTCACGAGGGGTTTAACGGAGACGCGATAGCTTGCACCACATATTCGTGTCCACTGTTTATGACGACCTGTTTGCGCAGTGCTTCTGAAGACATGTTTGCCCAGCGCGAGTCCGGCTCCAGGGCATTGCAGATTTTCGAGGCCGCGCCTTTGAACCCCGCTCTGAGTGCCACGTGTTCCACCCCTCCCTCCCTTTCTCTGCCCTGCATACCCTGTCTCGGCAAGATGAGCTTCGATCCAATGTTTGTCACAATTCCGTGCGATGCCGACAGTTGTCGCTCGAGGGTGCCATTTGCACATCAAGTCCCTCGTCTTCCTCTTCCCCCTCCTTCTCCCCCCCCCCCCCTTCCTCTCCTCCTTCCCCCGCGTAGGGTTGACATGCATAACGCAAGGGCCGTTGACCGAATGCTTGCCCCGACGGCTGCTCACGAAATGTTTGCCCCTGCGCGTGTACCGTATGCTTTCATCGCGTGGTAGGCTGAGCGAGCTGGGGGGTCCATCGCGCTGTCCGCCCCCATCTTCCCCCGCCAAAAATGCCAAGCGCGAGTGCCCCTACGCGCTGACTGCTGCCCCGTCGTCGTCGTCGTCGTCAAGGTCGTCGTCGTCGTCGTCGTCGTCCGCCCCCGTCGGCCAGAACCCGATTGAAATGGGCCCCCGGAACCCTCCCGGGGTCCGAGCGCACAAGTTTTCCGCGCCGCGTCCGGCCGCGACGAGGAGAGCCGCCAGGGGCCAGAGGATCTCGATCCTCGAGGCTTGAGGCTCGAACCTGGACGTCGGTGGCCGTTCGGGATGACTCCGGCACCCCCGGGACGCAGTTTGTCGGTCCCGATCGATTTCTGGCGGCCCTGGGTCCCGAAAGTGGCTCCCGCAGGCTACGACGCCGGAAGCCCGCCTCGAACTTCGAACCTCAGGGGTCGACGAAAATAGCTGGCGTCATCGGAGACGCGGCCATCTCGTCCGCCACAGCGGCGGCAGCCCAACTCCACGGGTTTCAGGCGGTGGGCGTGAGCGCGGCCCCCCCGAGCTCAGCCCACGCGCCGCTTCCGCGCGGGCGTCTTCGTAAGATTTGGGCGTCTTCGGCGCCGGGAACGGAAGGGGAGTTTCGAATCTCGAGGATCGAAGTTCGACGAGCTTTTTGTCGTTTTACGCCTCTGGAAGCCGCTTTCGGGCCCCGGGATCGTCGAAAATCGATCCATGGTGAAAAACTGCTTCGGAGGGACCCTGGGAAGGGCCCGGGGGCCGATTTTAATTCGATTTCGGTCATCCTGGGAGGAGGAGGGGGAGGGCGACGACGAGGGCGAGGAGGACGAGGAGGACGAGGAGGGCGAGGGTTGGACATGACTGGGCGCTCCCGTAAGTTGACCCGGTTCGTTCGAATGTGTTTCGCAAATATTATTGGGAATCTCGTTCAAAGTAAACTCCGACCTTCCACCCCTCCAGCCTCCGCCGCAGCCGCCCGAAGACAAATAATTTCAAATTGCGGCCGTGCCCCCAAATTTGAAGCATGCCCCTTTGCGTTGCCCGGGGCCCCCCAGGAATCCCAGGGGCCCCGACGGATTCTGTTGGTTTGTGGAGGATTCCTCGAACCTTCCATCCTGGAGGATTCATTCCTGGGCGCTCTCTTGGAGCCGTTTCCAATCAGCGGATGGCGCACCAACCGACGCGCATACGTGCGCGCGTGGCGCGTGCTCACTACTGTGTTGACCGCGCTTGAACAGTCGCCATGCTGGCCTGGAGACTCAAGTGAGCCCTGAGCGGTGACCGATTGGATGTTGAACTTAACAGTGGTTCACCACCTATGAGCGAATTGGCATAACCAACGACGCGCGTGTGCGCGCGCGTGCTCAGCTGTATTGACCGCAATGGACCACTCGCCATGTAGGCCTGGAAATTCAAATGAGCCCTCAGCGGTGACCGATTGGATTTTGAAGTGATGATGGGTTCACCACCTATCTGTGCATTGGCACAGCCCACGACGCGTGCGCGCGTGGCGCGTGCTTAGTTTTGTATTGGCCGCAGTAGAACACTTGCCATGATGGCCTGGAAAATCAAGCCAGCCCTTGGCGGTGACCGTTTGGGTTGTGAAGTTCACATGGATTCGCCACCGATCAGTGAATTGGCACAGCCAGCGACGCGAGTACGCGCGCGCTCGCGCGCGGTGCGCGTGATCAGTTCTGGCTTGACCGCAGTAGAACAGTCGCCATGTTGGCCTGGAAACGCAAGTGAGCCCTTAGCGGTGACCGATTGGATTTCGAGGTTGACACTGGTTCACCGCTTATCAGCGACTTAGCACAGCCAACGACGCGCGCGTCGCGTGCTCAGTTCTGCATTGAGCGCAATAGAACAGTCACCATGTGGCCAGGAGGCTGAAGTGAGCCATTAGCGGTAGCCGATTGGTTAACATGGCTCCACCGCGTGTCAGTGAATGGGCACAGCCAGCGACGCGTGCGCGCACGCGCGTGCTCAGTTCTGTGGTTCGTCAAAGAACCGTGGCAATGTTGGCCTGGAGACTCAAGTGAGCCCTTAGCGGGGACCGATTTGATTTTGAAGTGAACATGGGTTCACCACCCATCAGTGAATTGGCACAGCCAACGACGCGCGTACGCGCGCGCGCGTGGCGCGTGATCGGTTCTTGTATTGGCCGCAATAGAACAGTGGCCATTTGGGCCTGGAACCTCAAGTGGGCCCTTAGCGGTGACCGCTTGGATTT